AAATAAATAAATAAATAAATAAATAAATAAATAAATAAATAAATAAATAAAAGGGGTGGGTCGCAGCTCCCTCCCCGAGGGGCTTCTCGGCCAGTGCACAGCCTCCTGGGCATCCCACCGCCGAGCTTGCTTGCTGCAGAAGGAAGAGCCTTAAGCCAAGACAGCCCGACTCTCTTCTGGGATCCTAAGGCCCCACCTGAATGGGCCAGAAACTGCTCAACACTCGGGGGCTTTTCTTCCACCAAGGGTCCAACGTCTCAAAACCCAGCTGGTGGCTCTGGTTCCTGCTGGGAAAGCCCTGCTTTGGCCGCCAGAAATCCCTCGAGATAACAGAGGTGGATGATATTGGAGGCTGAAGGTCTGGAAGAGGGAGAAGCTCTGCCTTCTTCTGGAATTGACCCCTTCCTATTGGCCCCTTCTTTGGTAACCGAGAAGTGCCTTAAAAGGGTTAAATCATTGAGTGGGAAATTGGACCGAAGAAATGAAGGCACGGTTGGTGACACGCATCTTGTCCCTTTCTGTGGTTTGTGTGCTCACTGAGGACTAGATCCTAGGTGATCTAGCATTGTATATGTATACATTTCATTGCTCCCTTTCCACCCAGGTGCAGAACAAAACTCTTGCCCCCCTCCCGCCCCCGGAGGTGCTTAATTTAGTTGCGTTTGTTCTCTCCCAGCTTTCTCCATTGTATTCGTTGGATATTGGATACCATCCCATGAAGACCATCCCAGTGAAGGGAGTCTCCTATCGAAGGAAACACTTTGGAGAAATCATCTGGTCAAGAAATCAATTACCAGACAGAAAAGCCTTCCCTGCCGGAGCCCCTCTAGGACCTGCCTGGAGTCTCATCTGTGCTCTGAATTTTAAGCTATTTCTTAGCAAGTTATCACATCAAAACTCACCTGTTTAATCTTGATCAGTTTCTGCTGCAGGACCCGGACATCCCGCGTATGTTCTTGCTGCTTCTTGCTCACTTCTCCCATCTTCTGCAATGCCAGCTTCATCCTGCAGGGACAAAGCCTTTCGCTCCACCCCAGTACACCCCAGCCCCCTCAGGCATCCAACTGTACTCCAGGGAGCTGATGGGAGGAGGGGGGTTGGTTTACTGACAAGCTGCAGAAAAACAGCCACCCTCAAAACACGCACAGAGCGGGTTGCAAGGGCCAGCTGACTCTGCGCCTGGGGAACGACCTGGGCAGGTTTGGGCGCCTCCCTCCCTTTTGGGTACTGCAGGCCCAGAATATGTTCCTGTTGGTTACTGTGGGCGGTTTGCTAGGCCGTTGTCCAACAAAACTCTTCATTTTGCTCCGAGTTGGAGGCCAAGCAAGTGGGACATCGGTGGAGACAATGGACAGGACCTGCTGATTTCCCCTGGGACCCCCTGAGCTTGAGGCCCACATGATAAGGGCCTGAATCATTGCATTGTATGGCACAGCACGGAGCCTGGCTCTGAAAAATGAATATATCAAATGCCACATCAACTTTGGTTTGATAGAGGAAAAGCAGATAAATGTTTAAAGTTATGTATAAACGAGGAAAAGAGTAAGTTGATGAACTGGCATGCTTTGAGAGTATAGCACTTAGACCAGGGACTTTCGGACTTCAGGGACCACTCCATTCATAATTTTAAATCCCGCAGACCACTAATATGAATCCAGCATGTCTCTCACCTCTCTTTCTCTCTCATCTCTCTCTCTCTCTCTCCCATCTCTATTTCTTTCTGTCTCTCTGTATCTCTGTATCTCTCCTCTCTCTCTCATCTTTCTCCTCTCTCACATCTCCTTTCTCTCTCTCTTCTCTCTCTCTCCTCTCCTCTCCTCTCCTCATCCGGGCCAGCCAGTGTTTTGGAGCGGAGAGGAAGTCGTGCGTCTCCCAGGCACGCAGCATCAACGAGGGCCGGCCGGAAGAAACGCCCACAAGACCCAGCAAGAGATGAAGCTTCGCTCCCGCTTTGAAATATGGAGCAAATCTCCATCCCCCGCCCTTCCCTTTTCAGGCCAGGCCAGGCCAGGAGTGAGTGGGAGGGGTGGGCGAAGAACGGGGCCAGCCAGTGGTGGGTTCAACCGACAGGAAGCCACAGCAGGGGGAAGAAAGAGCTGGGCGTTGCTGCCTCTCGTTGCTTCGGCCCGTCTGCACCGCCATCCCCACCCGCTCTTGCCGCAACAGCACCGCTACCTTTTCCGGCCAGCGAGGGCTGTGCTACTCCTTGCACCTCCTGCAAAGTGGCAAGTTGCATGTTCCTCCCTCTACGGTGGAGATTTCCAGCCCCACCAAGCTGCCTGGCTAGTCCCATAATCCAGAGCTCTAGTCACAGGACTGGCCCATTGGTCATCCTAAAGCAGCTCCTCCACCGAAATTTTCTCGCGTTGGGGACCTCTGACTTAGACTTATATACTGCTTCAAAGTGCTTTTACAGCCCTCTCTAAGCAGTTGACTGAGTCACCTCTTGCCCCTAACAGTCTGGGTCCTTATTGTATCCACCTCGGAAGGATGGAAGGCTGAGTCAACCTTGAACCTGGTACAATTCGATCTGCCAAATTGCAGGCAGCCGGCAGTCAGCAGAAGTAGCCTGCAGTACTGCACTCTAACCACTGTGCCATTGCGGCTCATATGTCTGCTAAAGGTGGAGAAATCGATGAAGGAATTTTATAGCAGGCGAATACTAAGAGATTGGAAGCTTGTGATCCGATATGACAATGAATGTGTCAGGTTTGCTTGGCGCCTTGCTGGCACCCTGCCATCGAAGGCCAGGCGGGAGGAGGGGGACACCGGAGTGGGGAGGAAGGAACAAATGGGCAATAAACATGTATGAGGATGTGATGGGAAATAGGGAGGATGGGGAAAGGCAACTGGGTGAAGAGCAGGAGAGTTTGGAACCGGTTTGTGCCGGCACCCAAGGCCACGGACCCTGAGAAAGAATGTGGGTTACCCCAAACATCTCAGCGTTCTCAAAGCACCCAGGTGGACTCTTATTGGCTGAAGACGGACTGGTCATGCGCTGGGGTGAAAGGGGAAACCTCTTGTATCTTTTGAGTGTGGGAAATTCACTTCTAGCCTGACTCTACTGCAACCAGCATCTTTTAGTAAAAGAACCTACCACTTCATCTGACCCCCTGGAGTCGAGGGTCTTTCTTTCCTAAGAGATCGGACGGGAGCAGGTCTGACACCATGTTTGCTAAAAGATGTGGAAGTGAAACCTATATAAGGATGTCAGCTTTATTCCATTTTGCCAGAAAAACATAAAAGTTGAAAAGGGATGACAGGAATTGGTCAGGAATAGAAAAGAAAAAAACGAATTCAACGTCTCTTTCTTTCCTCTCTCGCCTCCAATTTCCTGCTTTGCACTCCTTTTCTGCACTTCAGGCATTCCAAGACTTACTCTGACTGGCAGCAGGTAGGCACGGATGGACATGTTTTAAAAATGGAGCAGCACAACCTCAACTCCTACACTTGTTTTAGACAATCTCGTGACAGGGTTCGGGAAAGCACTGCGGTTGAGAGAAGGCACAGGGCGCGTCTTGGCTCCCGAGGAGGCAGACTCACCGTTCGGCTCTCCTGGTGACCTGCTCCTGCAGGCTGTCAAACAGGTAGATGTAGGAATCCAGGAAGTCCAGGAAGCTCTTGGGGCTGACGAGGGGTAGGCTGTTGTCCAGGGAGGAGGCGTAGTCAGCTGCCGAGGAGTGGATCTGGGATGCAGCCACAGCCGTGTTGTGCAGCAGGTCCTTCTGGGCATGCAAGGACAGGGGCTCTGGCAGGCAACACGGGAGAACACCTGTTCAGGGAGACTGCAAGCACGGCGAGAAGAGGGGGAGGACCTCCTCCACACCCGATGCCTCTCCCCCTGCTGAAAGTAAAAGAGCACCTCTGGGACTTAATGGAGGGGGAGAGCAGCCCTGGGTGTAAACAGACTACTGTGAACTTCCTTTCCGGCCAGTATCTGGTAGGCCGGGTTGGGCTTCCAGCTGTAGCGTTTGTGGTCCCAGTGTTTTGCCGGCAGCTGAGGCTGCCCTTCACAGACAATGAGGTCAGCTCAGGTGGAAGCAGAGCACCCGTCTGTGGAGAGGAAAATCAAGGCTTCTGCTCTTTGGAGCACGATCCCTAAACCCTGAATCTGGGCGCTGCTCAGCACCTGGGCGGTTTGCTTGGGGAAAGAACTCCGAGGGCGAAGGAAGGAAATAAGAGGAGAAAGAGCAGCGTTCTGAGCATATGCCCTGAAGCCAGAGGGTGGGGCTAAAGGCAAAGGGAGTGAGGCCCCTTCTTTGGCTGGCACCAACCTCGGGTAAACCGTGTGGCACTCTTGAAGTGGCCCTTCAAGCGCTTGGAGGCCACCTGCAGCAAGGACTCCTGGCTCCAGTTCTGGTAGATCTCCAAGCTGCAGAGCGACTGAGCCAATGCTGTGGCTGTCAGGGGTGGGAGCGCCAAGGACCCAGGAGCCCCCAAGAGCAGGAACACGTGCAAGTTGGAACGCACCAACTGGAAGAACCTGCAAGGCCAAGAGAGCAGGGCGCTCTGAAGGAGCTCCGGCCCAGAGACGCTTCCCCTCTCCTCCCCCTTCCTTACTTCTGCAGCACGAGGTCCTCCCGCATGTTGCGCTTGATGCTCTGGTTCTCCTGCAGCATGGCCTGGATGATGGCCATGGAATCGTCCGAGCTGGAGAGTCCAGGGCAGGTGCCTTCGGTCATCAGCGCCAGGACCTGATGCAAGAGGGCCACACTCACTCCCGAGTGCACCAGCAGCATCACTCGCCTCCCCGTAATCCCAGCCTGCCAGCTTGCCGACCTCAGTAGTGCCAGTGCCTCTGCCTCACTAGCGCTTGCTGGCAGGTTAACGAGTTGGGTGTCTGTGGCATGAGCAACCAGAGCCACCAGGGACTGCCGGCCTGTGCCCCGGACAAAAGACACCAGGGCCCCGTGCCTGTCTGGTCCCCAGAGCAGGCGGGCCAGCCGTACCACATGCCTCAGTACGTCTGAGCACAACAAGAAGTCAGGGGGCAGGCAAGAGCGCAGCTGCGTCTCTAGGGTTTTCCAGAGCTTCTCCTGGTAGGGATTGTGCGCATTGGGGCCAGAGAAGTCAGGGCCCAGGTCCTTGCTGAAGACAATGTCTGCTGGGGACTCGCTCTGCAGGAGCAGGAGGTGAAGCGGCAGCAGTGGGCCAGAGCTGTCCTTCCTGCCTGAGCTGCGGCGCTTGACTCGCATGAGGAAAGACCGGTGGGGTGTGGCGTGAGCCTCGGACACTCTCATTTGGTTGGGCTTCCCACTGCTTGGCTTCTTCCCCACATCCACTTCTTCGGGCTCTGTTTCGGGGGTCTCGTTTTCTGGTTCTCCCAGGGCAACTTCTTCCCAGGGAGAGGGATCTGGTGGGTCAAGCGCCAGGGCTGGGGCCTGCTCCACAGGATCCCAGGAGTTTGGATAGCCACCGCTGTACGGGAACTCAGGCTCAGCTTGCAGAGTCAACAGGAGATGCTCCTCTCTGGGGTCCTCCTCCCCTACAGAGGCCGTGGCCAGACAGGTGTTGGACGTGCTGGGAAATTGAGTAGCGGTGTGTGTGTGAACAGAAGGAAGGGAGGGAACCACCCGCAGGACGCAATGCTTGGCGCAGAAGAGAGAGGTGGCGATTTCCAACAGTATTTGCTCACAGAGTTCCCGCTGCTGCTTTCCTCGCAGAGGGTCACAGAAGGTGCGTAGGCTCTCGTGCATCCAAAGCCGGATGACCAACCGGGTACTGAGTACTGCGGTGTACCCTGTGCCCACAGCCGGCCTCCCCATAACAGACATGCGCCTGGGGCTCGCCACCTTGGAACCGTGGTCTTCCGGGTGGGTGCTCAGATGAACCCCTGGGCGGGGCCGCAGCAGAAGCATCCCCTTGATCACCTTCGCAACATCGTGCAAAGAGAACTGGAAGAGGCAGCAGGCAGGGGAGGGGTGGAACCTTCTACTCACTGCTTCATAAGTGTCCAGGGTGGCCTTGACCACCGTGGAGGCCAACTCATGATGCCGGGTCAGCAGAGGAAATTTCTCCAGCCAGCTTAAAACCGTGCCAGTGTGCATGGTGAGCAAAGACTCCCTGCTCATGTCCGGGAGCACGACCGTGCTGAAAAGCCTGCCAAAACGAGGGCACAGCGGCAGGCTGCCGGTGATTGGGATGGAAAGCGTACCAAAGCAGTTGAAACCTGTGGCTGGCCACTGCTGCAGCTCCAGAGTCTCGGCGTGGTAGAACTGCTGGAGGGTGAGGGTCTGGCGCAGAGACTCAATCACAGGGCTGGTGCCTCGGACTGGATCTGGAAAGGAGGCGGAAGACCATATGGGACCTGGGCAGCGTTGTCTTAGGGAAGGGAGGGTGGAGGGGAGGGGAGCTCACCGACAAAAGCCAGGTGCAAATCCTCCATCAAGAAGAGGAAGTGTGCTTTGCTCACGGTGCCCCGAGTGGGCTTGCCAGTGGGGAAGAGGCCTTTCTCCCGCAGGGGGCTCTGAGACCTCCTGTGCAGCAGTTGGCGCAGGTGCCCTGTGCTGAACGCAGGCGTGAGGCACACCCGGTGATACAAGTAGTTGGGCTGCAGAAGCATCTCGGCAAAGGTAGATTTTCCACAGCCCGGCTCCCCGACCAGGAGGATGGGCTGGTCTGCGCCCAGCAACATGTTCAGTACAAAAAGCACCCGCTCGTTCTGCAGAGGAGGAAAACAAGGAGGCCATGGAGACACAGGTTTGTGCAGCACATCAGAAAGGGGGAATGGGAACCTCCGGATTCCACTGTACCTGCGGCAACACTGAGAAGCCCGCAGGAAGGGCCTTGATGTAACTGTGCAGATAACGGCCGTTGAAAGGCCTCAGAGTGCCGTCCTCGGCCAGAGGATAGAGATCAAAAGCGGAAACCGCTGCAGGGAGTTGGATGGACAAGCTGCTGTTACGGAGGGCCCTGCGGACAAAGCGGTCAAAGAGAGGCCAGTACCTATGCAAAGAGAGAGAGAGGAGGTTGGGCAGCCCAGAGTAAACCACGGTCCCCAAAAGGCTCCTTTCCCCTCCCTCCGTCTGCCCCCTGCCTCAAGGGCCTGGGTTTCCCACTTCCTGAACAGCACCCAGCACCCAGCAGGGCCATCTTCTGGGTCTCCTTCAGGCAAAGGACCTCATGTGTCTCTTCTGGACCAAAGAGTTTCAACCGCATGTCCTTCGTTCTGGGCCCCTGTGCGCTGACCCTTTCTTCAAACACCAACAAAAAAAGGGAGCCCATTTTGACAAAGGACAAACTGGCTAAACAACCGCTGCCGTTGCCACCAGCACCAGCACCGTCCAGGTAGCCACAGGGCCCCCCAGCTTTGCCTGTGCACTGATCAGACCTGGTCAAGCAAGCGGATGTGTTTTTAGGCTCTCCTGCAAACGGAAAGGAGAAGAACCAGTGAGGAGTCCGCCCAAGGATCAGCCAGAAAGGCTGCTGAGCAGCAGTGCTGGGCAGATGCCAGAGGCTCTATCAGCTCTCTCCTGGATGAAGCCAGGATCTACAGGGAGAGTTGGGAAACCTAGAACTAAGACTGGAATGACCGCACGGGGCAGTCCCTTCACCGTCAAGACTGCTGGGTGGCTTGGGAGTTCTTTTGGATTCTCAGCGAGGGTCTACGACTTTTCGGCTCCCACCCTTGGCCGTGCCCGCTTCTCTGCCAGCATTCCGCCTCTTTTCTCCTCGGCTGGCCCTCCCCTAGCTGTTCACCCACAGACCCTCTGTCCCAGGCCCTTCGGCACAGCCCATTCGTCCCGGGCTTTTGGCTGCCCGGGACAGTTAGCAGTCAGCCAGCAACCCGCAGAGCCCCCTCCAATATACACTACCTAAACTGAAGACCTAGTTTTAGCTCCAGTCTGGCCTTGGTGTGCTTGTGGATCCCAGATTGGATTTTACTGATTATTGTTATTGTTTTAGCACAGGCTGCCTGTGAACTGCACGTTTGTGTTGGCTTGTATTGTTTTTTAGTTGTAGTTGTAAGCCACTACCAGCTATGGAAGCGGATGGCTATAATAACTTTTAAATAATAATAAGATCAAGATATCCTATGGAAATAGTATCAAGAGTCTGAATGAAGACAATCACTGCCCGGACCCAAGAGTCCTTCAAACTGACCACCACATCAACCACACTGAAGAAACAGACCAAACTAGCCTACAAGAAACCAGATGAAGAATAGAGACAAGGCAAGGCAAAGTATTACACAACCACAGTGTATAAAAAGACAAAAGGCAAAGCAGATAACAAAACCTGGCAATGGCCAAGAGCAGAAAAACTGAAGAAAGAGACCGTGGAGCTAATTCTGGCTACACAAGACCGAGCCTCAGGAAAAAAGCCAGGACAGAGAAGACTGCGACAGACAGCAAATTCCATCAGTACAAAGAATCATAGATTCCAAGGGCTAGAAGGGAACTAGGACTTCTAGTCCAACCTGCTTTCCAAGGCAAAGAGTCCCTACAGCAACCCAGACAAATGCACGTTGAATCTTTTCTTAAAAGCCTCCAGCAATGAAGCACCCACAACTCCAGGAGGCAACTTCTGTTCCACCTACTAATTGTTCTTACGGTCCGGAAATTCCTCATTTCCAGGTTGAATCTCCTTCTGATCAGCTTCCCTCTGTTGCTTCTTGCCCTGCCCTCAGGTGCTTTGGAGAATAAATGGATGCCCTCTTCCCTGTGGCAGCCCTTCAAGTATTGGAAGGCTGCTCTCCGCCTCCCCTGAACATTTCTCTTCACTAGGCTAAGCAAACCTACGGTAATTCCCTTAGCTGTTCATTGTATGAGTTCTTCCCCCAGACCCCTTATCGTCTTCGTTGCGCTTCTCTGTGGTTTTTCTAGGGCCTCAGCATCTCTTTTGAATCATGGTGACCAGAAGTAGATGCAATATTCCAAGTGTGGTTTCATCAGTGCAGTATAAATCAGTACTGTGATTTCCCATGGTCTTCATGGTATCACTTATGGATGCAGTCTAGGACTGCGTTGGCTTTTTTTGGTGGCTACTACAGCACACAGTGGACTTATATGTAAGCAGAGAGTGAGACCTACATCCCTCTCAGTTACTATTGTTGAGCCAAATACCTCCTACTCTATACCTACGCATTTGGATTCAAGGCATAGGACCTTATTTTTCTCACCAATGAAAGGCATCTTGTTGGGCAGGGCCTAGTGCTCAGGCCTGTCAAAATCCTTCTGAATCTTGAGTGTATTTTCCAAGCCCATATCTATTCCCTAACCCTGGGGTACTTGAACGTATCCAAAGCAAGTAGTGTTCTTATCAATTCCTTGCCTATTTTGACCTGCATTGTGATTCTGTTTCTCACTGTGCTGGCTTTGATATGTTAGGCTATTTTTTTTCCCTTTTGTGTAAAGACAAAAGAAGGAATTAAGTAGTTCTGGTCTCTCCCTGCTGCCCACCACCTTCTTGCCTTCTTCTTCTATTGGTGGACCGATTATTTCTTTGTCATTCTTGTTGCTCCTTACATGTTGAATGAAATCTTGTTACTTTTGGCATTTGTTGGAAGTTTTAGCCTTCCTGACTCCATTTTTTCATTTTTCGGCCATTTGCTGGTATTCTGCTCTAGTTATATGCCCCTCTTTCCAATTTTTATACTTGTACTTTTTGTTCCTCAGTTTGTCAGAGCTCTTTATGCAACCATGCGGGTCTGATTTGGAGTCTCGGTTTTTCTTTCTCTGCAGTTTTATCTTTGTTTGGATCTTCATTATCTCTTTTTCTTGATTTTTCAGAGTATCCCAAACATTCTGTATTGTTTTCCCCTCTTAACATTTTTATCTAGGGAATCCTTCCTAATCTCTCTGTTAGCTTGCTGAAGTTGGCTCTCTTAAAGTCTGAGTTCAGTTTCTTCAGTTATCTCTGCCTGCATTATGATGAATTCTAGTATAACATGGTACTCTCCCCCCAAATTCCTACCACTTCCTCTCCCTCAACAATTTCATCTTTATTATTAAGAATTCAGATTGGTGTAGCTGACCCTCTAGTTCCTTTCTCCACCTTTTGGGAGATAAGACAGTCAACTAGACAGCCAGAAACTGGTTCAATCTCCCACTCCCTGAAGAGTTTATTTCTCAGCTGATGTCAGGGTAGTTAATGTCCCTCATTACCACAGTAGTAGGTTTCCTGTACACTTCAGTTAACTGATTTGCGAAAAATCCACCTATTTCCTCTGCTTGCTTAGATGGCCTTTAGTACACACCTATAGCAATGTCATTTCTTTTCTCCCTAATATTCACCCAAATACTTTCAAGATGGCTTTCATCCTTGGAATTGTGTATTTCTGTAGAGATATGGTAGTTCTTTACATGCATTGCAACTCCTGCCTCTCTTTGGTTGGGCCTGTTTCTTCTGAACTATTTATAACCTTCTAGCACTATGTCCAGTCATAGGTTCCATCTCATCAAGTTTCAGTAATAGCTACAATATTGTACTTGCTCTCGTGCACCAGGACCCCCAGAATTCTCCCTCCTCTTTGTTCCCTGTGCAAACAGCAGGTGAGTCTCCGGTCACCACCCACACGCCCTTTTTCACTCAGTGGACATGTCCTCTTTGTGACAGCCAAGCTATTTTTCTTCCTGTCACTAGAATGCTTGGTGAAGACCCCACTCCAGATGCCTGCGGGTTTTCTCCCGGGGAAGTGGGGGGGGATATGACATTGACTGTTCAACTCTACTGGCAGGGGTGCTCTTCTTGGGTATTTTTTGTCTTCTTCCTCTGGAGTTTAATTTTTCCTTGTAGTTGCTTGCTGCATTTAGTTTGAATACAAGCTTCTGCCTCTCTGAGTTATTCCTCAGTTTCATGCCTAAGACTCAGAGCAGCTAGACATGCTTCTAAACCTTCCACTTTCGGTGTTAGCAATCTAATCAGTTTGCACTTGGTGCGGATATAATTTAAGTCCTCCATGGGCAGGAGTGCAAGCATAGTGCACATCTTGCGGGTCACATCCAGCCTCTTTCTCCATGACACTGTTACTCTTCAGGATTTGTGCAGATGCAAATAGATATTCTCTTGTAGACTTCCTGCTTTAGAATTTTAATTGTAAGATTCCACTTAATTCACTGCATAAAGTTCTAGTTCTTTGCAGTTTCCAATGAATTCCTCTTTACTCTCCTATAACCCTTCAGTGTTATGCAGATGCTCCCAGTGACTTCCTTAGAAGTTGAGCAAGCAGGGGACCATCTGCAGAGACTGACTACAAGCAACAGCAAGACAAAGTAGCAACAATGGTGTATTGGAAGATTGCAAGAAGTATAATTTGCCTGCAAGCAAAAACTGTGGGACCACAAAATAGACAAAGTAATAGAAAATGAAGAAGTTGAATTGTTCTGGGACTTTAGAATTCAAAGAGCCAAGCATCTCCCACACAACACCCCAGACATTGGCCACCCCAGGTGGACAATGCCAAATCTAGTCTAAACATCGCACTACATGTGAGGATGCCACAGCGGCTGGTCCTCCTCCCTGCTTTGTAAAACAGCCACATAAGTTGTTGGGAGGCATCGTTTGGCAACTCAGGATTCCATATCCATGGGAGGCCGTTGGCACTCAGAGTTACAGAGAGGTTTGGGGGCCTGAAGTATGGAGGCAGGGCACCTCTGGGGCAGCACCCACACTCTGGAAGGCCAGCTGGCCTGTTGGTTCCTTTCTCAGAAGTTCCTCAAAACTGAGCTGTTTCAGAGGCCCTTCTCCCGATTCGGCTTGGCCATCCCCCTCCACTTTTCTCATTTAAAAAAAAAATTGTGTGTGTCTTTCATTGTTATTGTTTTTACTTGTGTTTGGCAGGTTTTTGGACTGGGCTGCAGATGGTTTAACTGTACTATTTCTTCTAAGTAGCCAAGTCTTTTTGGAATTACAGTGGGATAGAAGCGTATGTAATAGATGAGCATGTTATGATCTAGGTGGTCAAGGCAAAGCAGGCCTCCAGAGAGTCCTTTATTGCTTGAAGTAAATGTTCCAACCATGGCCCTCCAAGGACCAGTCAGGCTCCACTCCATGCTACCCCGGAGGCAGCCACCCTCGGTCCCCTAAACAACAAAGTGCACAGAACAGGAGCACGCTCAGAAGGCAAGGTCCAATCTACCAGGCGGGACAAGTCCACGAGGCAAACTGTAATCCACGAGGCAAAGGCAAAGGCACAAGACAGTCCGAAGTTCCAAGGCAAAAAGTAGAAGGCAGTTCTCAAAACTAGGCCAGGCAAAATATAAAAGGCGTGGCTCAAAGCCGGGGTCACCTGAGTAGTGCAAATGGGTGTGGAGCTTACAGCACAACCCTTTCAACCGTTCCAAGAAGGCTCCACACCCATTTGTGCCACTTAGGTGACCCTGAGGACAAACCTCCAAGAGGCCTCAATGACTCTCTAAAAGGATGCAAATGACCACCTGTCTGCAAGGAATCTCAATCCTTCTGTCAAACCCGACTTGAATCCACAGTTGCACCTTGCTGTTGCTTTCAGTTTGCCAAACAGCAAGGGGGGGGGGAGGCACATTCCTAAGGAGGGAGGGAGGGAGGCTCCGGAATGCAAGAGACGGCCGCCGTTGAGACATCGAAGTCAAGTTATGAAATGTTCGAGAAGCACAGACAGTCTCTTCCCAAAACAAAAGAACTGAACCCAATTGGTGAATGATGAACTGTGGGTGGCCCAGAGGTGGGGAAAGGGATTCTACCTATGTGGGGTTTTGTGGCAAAATCCCAGAACTGACTTTGCTTCTGCTGTACCTAGATGGGTCTTTCAATGAAGCTCTACTCTTGGTGATCTAAAAGAGCTGAGAGTTTCTTTGGTTGAATGTGCCAAATGGGACAGTTGACACCTTCCATTCCCCACCATCCAGTCAGGACTGCAGAAGCTTCTTGGATGAGAAGTGAAACGTCTTGGAAGAAAAGCCAGAAAGTCCAGCTGCCTCTTGGAAAAGCTCCTTGGCGACAGCCACGACCTGGATGGTTGAGAATCTCCCTGGAGTAGACGTTTCCTGGGCTTGCCTAAGCTCTGCTCTCGGTGCCCTTGGATCGAGTGTGTGTGGGGGGGGGGAGGCAGCTGTTCCTCCTCAGAGGGGCTGCGCCGCCTATCAGCACCACTGCCTGCCAGCAGCTGATCCTCCCCTGTGCCTGTGAGGGCAGGCAGCTCCCCGTCCTCTCCCCCAATGCACGAGGGGCCTGAGACGGCATCGTCCTCAGCCCTGGCCTCTCCAGACGCGCCAAGGGAGACGTGCCATCCCTGTCAGACGTGGCCCCAACTCCTCCCCCTCCGAACCAGGCTCCGATGGGACCACGACAGAGCACGTAAGCTGTGGGCACAGAACCTTGGTACTTTCCTGCCTCATTTGTGGCTTTCCAAGGAGGGTGTGTGTGTGTGTGTGTGTGTTGGCAGCTGAATTTCAAAGCTGAATTTCCGGATGCTTGACATGTGTGTGTGCACGTGTCACCTTGGAAAAGCTCAGCCGAGCCGCTCAGGGCAGGAGACAAGCAGCCAGGAGCGTGTCCCATTCAGATGGCTTACCCTCCCTTTGGCTGCACCGGACAAAAACAGCTCCTCCAAGAGACCCAGAGGGTAGTTTCCAAATGAACATGGCTCCTGAGCTGCCCCTTCACTCCTTGATATAGAAACATACTTTAAATGGGTCCTCCTTTAGGAAACTAAGACTGGAAATGAACTTATTTTTAGCTGCTCTGAATTTATCTTAACAGTGTGCAAAGCAGCTCAGGAACACTTGTGTTGTTTCCATAAAAGGAAAATGATAAAATAAAAATAAAGAGCTGCCGTATCAGCTCAAGTTACCCCAACCAGCTCATCCTCAACCCCGTTTGTCCGTAGCACCAAATGGCCCATGAGGGGACGGATGCCCATGGATGGTCTTGGGGCAGGGCGGGGGGGGGGGGGGGGGGTGTAGGCCGCCGGGGGGGGGGGGGGGGGGGGGGGGGGGGGGGGGGCTGAGCCTGAGAAAATAGCTCTGGCCTGGTGCTAGCAAGGCCCTTTCCCCTTCTCCCAGCCTCCCTCCATCTTCTCTGCCTGGGCTCCCCACCCCCCCCCGGAACTCTCCTTCCTGGGAAAAAGGCGGCAAGTGGCAGAAGAGACCCTACCTGGTCTGCAGGTGGCTCCCAAAGCCCCAAACGTAGGCGAAGACAAAGATGCTCTGGGCCAGCAGGGGGGGCTGGGCGGGGTCCTCATCCAGACTGTGAGCCTTCAAGCTGGTGGGTGGCCAGGAGCCGATTTCTAGAGGGGAGGAGGTGGGGGTCACCCTTGGGGAGGGGCAGCACCCTAGCCGCCGCTTTCTTCCCACCTACGAGTCCCGCTCCACCGCAGGCCATCCTCACCTGTGGCCCCCTTGACAGCCGGCCGGGGCTTGAGCTGGTCGTGGCACATGTAGTGCTTGAGCAGCGCCTGGAAGATCCTGGCAAAGGCCGTGGTCTCCTGGACCCCTTGGGCCAGCGGGTGCTGGGGGTGGGCGTGGGGCAGCAGGGCCGGGCAGCAGTGCTGCTCCAGGAAGGCCACGGTGGCCGGGAAGAGCTCCTTGGCCAGGCCGTGAAGCGTGGCCAGGGTCTCCAGGGAGAGGCTGTACTTGTGCTGCGCGGGGGCAAAGGCCGAGGAGAGCAGCACCTGCCACAGCCGGGAGCCCTCCAGGTGCAGCAGGGCGCAGTGGGTGCAGACCGAGGGGGGCACCTCTGAGGCGTCCAGCATCTCAAAGAGGAAGCGGAGGTTCTTGGGGGCCCGCAGCCTCTGCCCATTGGGCAGGCTGAAGAACGGTCGGGCGCTGAAGAGCAAGGAGATGGGCTCCAGCCACTCTTGGCAAGCAGCCCCATCCAGCACCAGCCACTGCTGGGAGCTGCCCTCGCCGGTCCCACAAGCGGCAGCTGAGGTGGCTGCCTGTTGCAGGATCCGGGAGAAGACCCCGTCCTGCCAGAGGCTGCCCTCCAGGCTGCCCAGAAACTCGGAGACACTCAGGGCGTTGGGCCACAAGCAGACAGTGCTTACAGGCCGGAAGGCCCCCTTCTCACGGGCACTCGAACCCTGCATGCCTGGCGTGGCATCGCTGGCCGCCAGCCTACTCTGGGCCTTGGACAAGGTTCGCCAGGCGGTGGTCTTGCCGCTTCCGGAGGGCCCCAGGAGGAGGATGCCAGTGGCCCCCTGCATTGCCTGGGAGAGCTGGCTGGCAGCCAGGAGGAGGTCCGGGTCCGGCTGCAGCTTGTCCTCCTGCAACTGAGCCACCAGGGCGCTCTGCAGCCGAGGGGGCAGCTGCTCGGAAGGGGGCAGGGCGGCGCTGGGGAAGACTTCGTGGAGCAGCTCACGCACGTTGTGCAGCCGAGGGCCCTCGGGGCCAGTGAGCAAAGGCGAGCGGCGCAGAGCCTTCACCACAGCGGGCTCTTCCTCAAGGCCCAGGAAGAAGGCTGTCCGAGGAGAGGGCTTGGCTCTGGAAGCCAAAGGCTCTTGCCGTGGAGTGGGAGCAAACAGGATGTCGATGGCCATCCCAATCACCTTTCGGATGAGGGTGGGGCTGACCAAGTGGGGCCCGGACTGGAGCATCCTCTCCAACTCCAGGAAAGCACACAGTTTCTCCGCCAGGCGTGTGGCCTCTCGGAAGCCAGCCGCAAGCAGCATGACTTCCGCAAGTCTCGTGAGATCAGGGGGCCGCACGGCCAAGGGGCGCAGGGCCAGGCGCAGCTGCTCCGGAAGGGACTCCAGGGTGACCACGCAGCCGTAGGTCTCCCGCACACGAAGCAGCCTCCCCCCGAAAAGGATGTTTCCCAGCACCCGTGGCTGGTAGGGCTCAGCCTCATCGGTGCCCAGCTCTGGCAAACCAACGGGCTGCTCCTCGCCCTCCTCCGAGCTCTCCGAGCTCTCCGAACCTGGGCTGCCAGCGGGGAAGACGGCCGAGGGCTGGGCAGAGGGGGTCGCCCTGCCCCCCTCCTGCAAGTTCAGGCACATCCTCTGCAGGTCCACCAGGCGATGGCTGAAGGCAGAGAGCACGGCTGGCTCCAAGCGCTCGACCGTCTCCAGCAGCAGCAGGGCCCCCGAATGCACAGCCCCACAGAGGTGCCGGGAGAGGCAGCTGATGGACATTTGCCTAGTGCAGTGCAGCGTGACCAGGTGGCGGCCCAGCAACTGAGCCAAGCCCTGCACGGTGTGAGACTTGCCCACGTCCGGCCGGCCCAGCAGGCCCCCACAGCAGAACTCCTCCAAGGCTTGCAGGAGCCCCAGGAAGGTCCTGTCCAGCGAGGGGCTGCCCAGCAGCTGCGAGCTGGTGCCCAGAAACTCATAGTCGTAAGGGAAGCGTCTGTCCAGGACTTCGGCCCAGCAGCCGGGAGGGCTGCCCACCCAGGAGCAACTCGGAGGGAGCCCCGCTGCCCGGGCTTTCTCAGGCAGCAGGTGGACGCTGTACTTGAGGTGCCGGGCCCACTCGAAGTGGTGGGCAGAGACCTCCTTGCGCTTGAGCAGCTGGGAGGTGAGGTCACGTTGCTGAATGGTGATGATGATCAGGGCCCCCAGCAACATGCCCAGGGGGTCCTGCTCTGGGTTCCAGGTGTGGACACTGCGGTAGTTGCGGATGTAGTGCACCACGGCCTCCAGCTTCAGGCTGAGCCTGAGCTCCAGCCCCTTCCGCAGCCGCCGGTTCAAGAAGGCTTCTTCCACTGCCACCCGCCACAGCGCCTCCTCGGCCACTAGCACGCATTGGGTCGGGAAGGTGTTGCCTAGCCCCGCCCAGCGCTCGGCCACCAAGTGCAGGGGCAGTTCCGTGGGGCCAGGGCGCCGCTCAAAGGCCAAATCCAGCTGCGGGCTGAGAGCCAGGCGCTGGGCCACGCACTCCTGCAGTTGGTTGAAGACGGACTCCTTCATGTGGTGCTCCAGGATGCAGAGCCACTGGGTGACTTTCCGGCCGAGGGGGACTGAGCTACACAGCTTCAGCTTCTCGCCATGGCTGCCTATCAGGCCGACCACCTGCACCATGGGCAGCTCAGCAGAGATGGCGTCGGCGTTTTGCGAAGTTGGGGGCAGGAGCAGGTCCAGTTGGCACACTCCAGGGAAGCAACGTTGGGACCAAGCCGAGGCGTCCGCAGTTTCATTGGCGGTAGACAGCATGGCCACCAGTTCTTCGTTGCTGAGGAAGAAGAGGCGGGGGAAGCCCATCCGGGTGGCCTCCAGAACGTAGTCCAGGGCCCGGATGAGACCCTGCAGGTCGGCACAGCCCTCCAGGAAAGCTGCCTGCAGTGCGGCCCCAATGAAGCGGCTGTCCCGGCTGGAGCCTGGCCCCAACTGGACGCTGGACAGCACCAGGGGATCGTTGCACGTCAGCCGCATGACCTCCCGGAAATGGGCATCCAGTCGCTGGAACCGAGAATCCTGCCGGGGGGGGGGGGGGGGCAGGGAAAAGGAGGGGGGAACCAGTGAGGAAATGGGCCCAGAGAGGAGCGGGGTAATCCTTCCAGGGCCAAGCCTGACTTACCAGCTCTGCACTGGGCAGGGAGATATTCATCTCGTAGAGAACCATGTTCAGGAAGACCCACTTCTGTTGGAAACTCACCCAGGAATAAAGAAGGGATTCTGGATAAAAGAGAAAGACGAGGAGGAGGAGGAGGAAAAGGGAAGGGGATCAACTCGTCACGCAACACCCGGGGCCTTTTAACCCTGATCCCTGGATGTGCAACTGGCCAGGTTCTCACCGCACACGGCATCTGAAACCAGGTCCAAAGAGGCCTCCCCTTTCATCACTCGGCAACTTCTGAGTCAGGCCAGCATGGTTCCCTACACCCACCCCACCCCCCAAAGAGGAAGGGATTCGGGGTGGTGGGTGCCCCATGGTCACCTTCGACCTGTGAGTCAAAGCGTGCCCCTCTCTTCTTCCTCCTCACCAAAAGTGCGCAGTGTGGACACCCAGCTCTTGGCCTCTTCCAGGATGTCGGAGGAGAAGGGAGACAGGATCATGTTCTGGAGGATCAAGATGTTGTGCTCCACGGCAGCCTTCAATTCAGTGGTATCTGCAGCCCAAGTCCCAAACTAAGCACAATGTTCCCCTTCCCCCACTTTGTGTGAGGGGTATGGGTGAGAAAGGTTCCCACCAGAAAAAAAAGGAGCTGACGGTGGACCTCGAGGCCACTTCCCGTTCCCAGAAAGGAGGGAGACAAGCGGAAGGACATGAAGGGCCCTGGTAAATAGGTACGGGCCCGCTCCTCCTCCCTGGGTCCACGCTCAGCCCAAACACACCGGCATCATTCAGGGTCTCACCTGACAGCACAAAGGTGCCACTATCCTTGGAGATGTATTCAAGCTTGGCTGCGCGCTGGCGGCCACTAGTTGGTCGCCGGAAGCGTTCCGGCTGCGGTTCCTGGTAGGGCACGTTGAGGATGAAATTGACGAGGCGGAACTGCTTCTCCGCCCAGGCCCTCTGGAGACGCAGGAGTGTGTCTCTGGCGTAATGACGGCTTTTCTCATGGGCATAGACCTGGTGGCCAAGGGAGAGGGCGGCTTTATCCCAGACCTGCCCAGCAGGAGCAAGCGGCTTCCCCTGGCCAGTCACGTGTCAAGCCACTCACCCTGAAGATGGCATCGCTATATTCCAGCAATGGGTAGGAAAGGAGCTGGCCCAGGGTGAACTGCATATTCATTGGGCACTTGGCACCCATGACTGGAAAAAAAACAGAGGACAGCCAAAATCAGCCGTCTGCCCTCTCCGGCCTGGCATCTTCCCCGCCAACCCCCCTAATTCAGCCACCCGCCCAGAGCCATCCTGCAGGGTGCAGTTGAGCTCCTCCGAGCGCCGCTTCGGTCCCTTCCCAGCACTCCAAGGCCGGCCCCGCCGGCCCCTCACCAGCGAAGATCTCCTTCCAGCAGCTGAGCTTAAGGAAGTGGCTGCCGAGCTTCAGGAGCAAAGGCAGGTACTTCTGGAAGTTGGCAATGGCTGAGAGGCAAGCCTGCATGACACGGTGGTGGCTGGGCAGGGAGCCCTCCAGCCTGGCCCCCTCCTTCTGCCACTCCTCCGTCTTCTCCAGGGCCAGAGGGGTGCTGAACTGCAAGCAGGGAAATTGGAGGGGAGGGGGAGGGGGCAAGTCCATCAGGCTGAGATGCCAAAGCTGATTTCCTGGCTCTTCTCGGCCTGGCCAAGTTCCCTGAGGCGACTGGATGGGCAGGTGATTAACACAGTTTGTCCAAATAAAATGATCTCTTGCCTGGAATGGCATCCCCGGCTCTAAAGGACCCCCAGATGTCACTGCCAGAGGGGAGTTGGCACTGGGGATGTCAAAGGGTGGGTGGGTGAGGAGCCATGCTGAGAAGGGGCCTAACGGACTCTGGCCAGCTGCATCTCCGCCTCCACCTTCACCTTGATGAAGGCCAAGCACTTCCACTCCGTGATCTGCTCAGAGACGATGCGGAACAGCTGCCAGACGCGGATGTGAATCTCAATGACCTCCTGCTGCCTGGTGAGGAGAGAGAGGTCCGTGCGCCCCCCTGCAAAAGGCATCAGAAGACCCCTGACTCACCTGTGACATGCAGGTGAACCCCCTCCTCCCCCCACACCCTGGCAGGACTGGGACGGCAGCTCCCCCACCTGTCAGAATCCGCTGCGAGTGGCAGAGGTCCGTGACACGTCCCACCAAAGCCTGGAAGCGCTGCAGGAGCCGGATCAGCTCGTCCTCCATGACACGAGGGTTCTGGGCCGGGTCCTGGAAGCGGCCTAAAGTAACTGTGGTCAGCAGCTCCTGGAGCTCCCGAGTCGCGTCCTGGAGGGAGCTGCTGAGCTCCTCAATGATGGTCAGGCGGCGTGAAACAATGAAGTCAGAGACCTCCCGCTGCTGGTACACGAAGGCATCCCAGGTGTCCAGGAGCTAGGACGGAGAGAAGGCTCAGGCCCTAAAGGGCTCAAGGAGCAACGAAGAGGAGGGGACAGCAGCTGTCACCCCCCCCCCCCCCCCCCCCCCCCCCCCCCCCCCCCCCGGGGGAAGGGGCCAAGCACAAATGGGCCCCTCCTGGCCCCCCCCCCGCCCCCCCCCCCCCGCCCCCACACATGTTCTGCCCTGAAGGGGAAGACCAAGGAGCCAGGGAGAGTTCAGGGTGTGTGTGTGAAGAAGGGCCAGTGAGCCTCCACTCTGCCCTCTTCGTCTTTAGCTGACCCCTGGGAGCCAGAGAGCCCCTCTTGAAAAACACGACTTCCCTTTGTTCCAGCAAGCTCTTCCCTTGCCGGTTGCCCAAAGGGATGGTCCTACTAGGGTTTAGGAGGAGACCTTACCATGTTTTCCAGACTTTCTTCACTGGGGCTCAGAGGGCGATAGCACTGCTGGATGACGTCGTTGAGGGCGCGCACGTAGTCCACGTATTCCTGCAGCTCAGCCATCTGGCCTTGGTAGTGCTCCAGCTGCGGAGGAATAAACCAAAGCCACAACTCGCAACTACTCCCAGAGTTAGGCCAAGAGTTTGACATTCCGATTCCACAAATTTAAGCCATTTACAGAATCTGCCCCTCTTTTGCTGCAGCCCTCGCGGATCTACCTTGGGTTGGACATTCATCCCAGTCCCCAATTCCACCCCAAATCTTACGATGAATTTCCCGATCTGATTTCATGATGGCCTACGGGGCCTGCGACAGAGAGTTTAGCAGAGAAAAACCAGGAGAAGAGGCATAAGGCAAAATCGCCCCAGGTGTGGAGAGCAATGCAGGATCTGAGCCACCTGCCCCTGGGACTTCCCTAAAAGATCCCTCAGCCCCCCAAGCCTCAAGGGGATTTTCCCATCGGTGTACATCAGGAGGAATCTCTCAAGGTTACCAGCGGCTTAGCCTGGGGGCTTGAGAAGTGAGCAAGAACGAAGCGGACCACAGAGTCCAAGGGAAGACCGTCCCACCCCAGCCCAGGGCCAGAATCCCCTGCAGATGGACCTGTAGCTTCTTGGGGGCACCTGGCTTGAGAGACTCCATCCCTCCCGAGGCAGCCCATTCCATTCTGGAGTCATTCATAACATCAGAAAGTTAGTTCTGGGTTTGCTTCCTTCTACTCTGAACTCATTGCTCCTTGCTCACAATCTACCCTGTTGTCCAGGTTCCCTTAAGGTATGTTATCGGGTCTCCTCTACTTCAGATTACCCAGACCTGACTGACGTTGGTAGAGATTCTCAGCCATCCATTTTCAGGACAACTGGACTTTCTTGTTTTTTTCCTTCGAAGAAGCTTCTTCAGCTCTGACAGGATGGTGGGGAATGGAAGGATTCATATTCCTTGCAGAGAGGGTCCTTGAAGCACTTGGAGGTTTACCTGTGCCCTTGGGGTCACCTGAATGGCACTCCTGGTTAACCCCGAGGACACAGGTAAACCTCCAAGTGGAGGATTCCTCAAGTGGGAGAGCTCTGAAGCAGTGCAACCGTCTGCCTCCCCCCCCCAACCCCCATATCAGGGCAGCACCGACTCAAAGCGAAAAGGGGCTTTTGCAGCCAAGGGGGAGCCCTTTCCCTGGCCCCGGGGATTCCACCCCAGACAGGAGGGCCCCCAAGGTCTCTTCCAGCCCAGGAAGGCCTCCCGGATTCTGCTCCATCGCCTGAGTGGGATCTGAGGTTACGCGTGTCGAAAGAATGAGTTCTTCACAGATGCTGGATACTAATTTGTTTATTTTTTTGTAAACTGAAGATGGCAAACATATCTATTTTTTATTTATTTATTTATTCAATTATTTATATCTCTGTATTATTTTTAGAAGTAACTCAAGGTGGTGAACACATCCAACATACTCTCCTCTTTTTATGTTCTCCACAACAACCACCCTGTGAGGTGGGTTGGGCTGAGGGAGGGGCTGGCCCAAGGTCACCCAGTTGGCTTTCATGGCTAAAGTGAACTCGCCACCTCCTCCTTTCTAGCCTGGGGCTTTCAGCACCAGACCAAAGTGCTTGTCCCTGCTGCTAATGGAGACCTACCAAGAAATAATGGCATCCCTCCTATGCATTTTGTATAAAACTCTATACACACACGTGTGGGTGTGGATGGGTGCGCACATATGCACACACTTTGTAAAATAAATCAGTAAAAATGTAACAGGTAGCAAGGATTCTTCAAGAATTCTCTCCTAGGCTAATTTTATTTATACACACATACACAGACACAGAGTTCAGACCCAGCCAAGGCCCTCCACCAGCATCCCACCCAGACAACCTCAACTCACCCTCACATTCAAATCGGCACCTCTCCAGAGCCCAAGATCACAAACACAACCCACCCAACTCTCCACTGTGTCTTAGCTTGGTTGGTACAATGCCCTTAATTCCTCAGGCTAGCAAGACCATTCTAGGGAAGGCCCTGTGTGCACGAGAGCCCCGTGTGGGAAGGGAAGATCTCTGCCACGCCTGCTCAGAAAACAGGCCTCCGCTGCCGGAAGAGGCGCCTACCTTCTGCGAGCACTTGGCAACGGTGAAGATGTCGGTGCCAACGTTCATGTACAGCTGCAGGACAGAGGCCAACTCGGCAATGAACTGCTCGCTGCGCTTGGTGGTCTCGCTCAGCAGGAGGGTCAGGATGTCTTTGTCGATGGAGGCCAGGGGGGGCACTGGGGAGAGAGCAGGGCAGGCTTCAGGGGCGCCAGCAGCACCAGAGGCCCTTTCCCTCTCCTCGCCCCAGGAAACACCTACGGATGTCCTGAAGAATGCCACCGCAGTCCACCAGGAAGAAGCGATTGAAGGTGATGACCACTTGGGGCACCTTCTGCACCTGGACCGCCCAGGTGCGCAACTTGAGGATCTGATTCACGTACTCTTCTGCCGGCAGGCCCCTCATGCTCTCCAGCTGGCTGTCGCTCCAGCTGTGCACGTACTGGTAGATCTGGCCCAGCCAAGAGTACTCTCGGCAGAGCAGCTGCGTCTCTGCCAGCCCAGCCTGTGGGAAGACGGAGCACTCGGCCACAGGCTCTTCAGGTGACAGAGGCTCTCCTGGCGGAAGGAGGCCTGGGGGGGGGGGGGTGTTCAGTGGGGAAGGAAGGAAGGCGCCCTGGCATGCCAAAGCCGGAGCCAGGCGTGTCCCTCAGTTCCTGGGCTAAATTCTTTTGGGGAGGGTTTTTTTTTTTTTTGAACAATATCCTGAATCAAACTAACCTAGCAGGCTGGGTGCACAGAACATAGTCAGCGATACAAAAACAAACCAAGTTAAAACTATCTGGGCCAATTCTGTCACCAAGCTTATATTAATCCGGTTAAGCCTGTGGTGTGAATATACTATACGTACTCAAATTCTACACATAAAACAAACATGTAAAAACAGTTCATAAACCTATACAGAAACGTAAACCTGCAAATGTAAAGGTAAGCATCTAACTTAAAACTAACATCTATCACCCACTTCTGCCCAAGGTGTCCCCACTGATATTGTTTTTATCACCTTCATCCTAGACCCCTGGATTAAAAGCAGCTGCCACAAGCCTCATGCCCCGAGGAAGACCCCTGGACCGGCTCGACAAAGGAAGGACTCCTGCCGGGGCTCCAAAGAGGAGGAAGTGGGGACTGCAGATACCTGGAGACTCCCTACTGAGAAGGCCTCCAGTTGGCTGCCTAGTCGACCGTGGGAAACTCTTAGGTAACTGTTACTTGGTACCTGGACACACGCTACCCACGTGGCCATTGGTACACAGAGCTAGTAGTCCTGGTTGTGCCTCCCTCGTGAAGGGATACCTCTTCCTCCTCCTTTACTTCCTCTTTGATTGCTTTGGGTGTCGAGGAGCAGGGCCAGCGCTCTCTTCAAACTCTACAATTCTTAGCCCCAGAAGGCAAATGTTTCTCCCACTGACACAATCAGCAGAGCCCATTTTTCACACACAGGGCCTTTCCAGTCTGCGTCCCTGGGCCGCCAGAACGAAGGAGGGGCGCCTGAGCCAAACTTGTAGTAACTGCCAGGAGGCCTGCTGTGTTCTGGGCAGCCAGTCCTCCTCGTGAGCCAGTGGGCCAGTATCTGATGCTCCACAGCAGGGGTACCCCCTCGTTCTCTTTGGGACACATCTGCCCCTCCTCCGCCCTTCAGAACCAACCACCCTGCTGGGTCCCATCCTTTCACTTTCACTTCTCTTGTGGGCTCAGAACCTGACGAAGCGCCCAATGCAGCTGCTTCTGAATTGGCACAGCCTCTTCTGCGTCTCACAGCTCTCCTAATCTCCAGGCCTTCCCTTTATAGGGGGCTGGCTGTTTTAGGCTGCCTTCCCTGTCGGAGGCGGCTGGGAAGTGGAACCACTCAACAGTCCTATCCCTTCAACTTGTTAAGCTCCCAAGTTTCTCAGGTGGTTGTAGGGAAACACTGCCAAATTAGGCGAAGGGAGTAGGGGAGGCCCTTGGACTAGACTCACCATGAAGAGGTCCCGCAATTTAGCCATGGCCTTCTGGATGATGCTGTCTGAGTGCAGGTCGGTCTCCAGCTGCTCACGAGACAGCAAAGGGTACTCGGCCCGCAGCCGGTGGCCCACCACCTGCAGCCCAATGCAGGCCTTCAGGTCCAAACGATGGAGCAGCTGAGCTTTATCACTGCACAGCACCGTCACAGACATCTGCTGCAGCTGCTCACGCAACTTGGAGATCTGGTCATGCCCGCTGGCTGGGCCGGCCACGGGGTCTCCAGCTTTGAGGAGAGAAAGGAAGGGCCAAAGTGCTATTGGTTAAAAAGGCACATTTTGTGCAAGGCAGCTAAGAGGAAACCTTAAAACTATGGTGGATTGACACAGAGGCACAGGAGGACCAAGCCAACCCAGGACAGGAAGCGCCCTCATCTCCGCCAAGCTGAAAAGGACGCAGCCCCTTTTGTGCCACCAAGCAAAAGGCCTCCCTCCCTGCCCCCAAGCCATCTTCCCACAGGCTCTTTGGCTCCCCACCTGCTTGGGAGGCTGGGTGCTCTGCTTCAGGCGTCCCGGTTCTGGGGCCTGCTTGAGCTTCTGCCTTCTCGCTTTTAACCCGTGTGGTCTGTAGGGCACAGAAAGCCAGGGAAGTTGTGAGCGGCAGCCCGTTCACATCAGAATCCTCAGCCCCACCCCAGAAACCCCTCATGGGCCACCCCCACTTGGTGACCGGGGACACATGTGGGAGATGCTGAGCCAGAAAGACCAAGGACCGCTCTAGCCCACCTCCAGGACTGTCTCCACCATGGTTCGCAGAGCCCCCAGCAGGCAGTCTTCCAGCTCCCCACTGGAGGGAAAGACCACGAGCTGATTGTCCGCACTGAACACCAGCTGCACCCGGAGGACGGCTTTCCGGGTGGAGCCATCGGCCTGCAAGGGAAGAGGTCAAAAGGCAGGAGAGAATGCAGATGCTCTTCAGTCCTGGAAGCCAAAGAGTGGAGCTTCCTGGAGGTTTCACTCCATCTCTCCCCCCACCCCACCCCCGCACAGCCCAAACGGGGGCCTTGTCACCAATCCCTCTCCCTTCAGTGTCCCCTTCCTTGAGGCAGACCTGCATGGTACAATTGATGAAGGTGGAGCTTTCCTCGTGCATCACCGAGATGAGGGTCTGGCAAACGAGGAAGTTCACCAGCACGGCCAGGACACCCAGCTTCTGCAGCCAGGACTCTGCCTCTCGCAAGCGGCATTGCAGCCTCTCGAACTGCAGCCGCTGCTGGTACGGGGACTCTTTGGTGATGTACAACTTGTAGCCCTGCACTTCCATCTGCAGCCCATGGACCATCTTGTAGGTGTCATCCCGCACCTGCCAGCATTACACCCAAAACAGCAGAACCCGCTGAGAATCCTGGGTACAGGAATACTAGGTCAGGGGTTGTTCATTACCGCCGTAGATCCGGTCTGAAACTCTTCCAATGTTGCAGACCGAGTCTGCCGGGGTGAAGATAAACCCGCATTTACACACCATTCAAAAGAGACAGTTAAAAAGCTAGGAAGGAGACAAAAAGGACACACCCTTCTCCAGCAGCCTATCCCAGAAGAAGCAGGGTTCTAAACACACCAGACAAACAGTCAAGCAGAAAGCAACCTTTCATCACGGCACTACCAGGAGAAACCCATATGCCCTCCAACACTGGCTGGGCAAACGGTGAACAGGGAGTAAAACCCACCCTCGCTATTGTGATTATGTGATTTATTCGGGTAATGAAACGTCTGCAGGCAAACAAGAAGCTCAGAGAGCAGCAAGGATACCTGCCGTAGTTAAACGTAGGAGCCTGTCGGTATCATTAATCAACCGCTGAATGGCCACTTTCTTCCAAGGCTTCTCTCACCTTCAGAAACCCCAACGGGTGGAAGAAAAATTGGGCAGAATAGAACACTGCCTGCTCCACAATGGACCTCTACAAAAATGACTTTGCCAAGACGATCTGATTTAAGATGGAAGCTTGCAAACATGTTGGGAGGTAAACCTCTCACTTGTAGAAGCCGCTGGTTCCACTTTAACCTCTGATCAATAGTTTGGCAATACAGGAAAGAAAAAGTTGTGCGTGGGACAGGGCTTAAGAACAAATAAACCTAGGGAGCCGCATAAGGTGCGCTGTCTTGTCATTTAGCGGGGACTGCTTTTCCACTCTTATTTTCCTGGAGTCGTACAGCGTGAGTGATCATTACAAACCTAATCAAGTAAATACATTAAATTGCCTCGCTGAAATATGTTCCCCACATCAGCTCACAACCACTGACAGGCTGCATCTCCAATGTGACATATGACAAGAGTTAAAATGATTTATTTCCTTGGTTCTTGCAAATTTCTCACCCCTGCCCTGCAAACACTCCCTCCTCCCCCTTGCAAGAGCTCCCGTCCCGCTCAGGCCGAGGCTCACCAGCTCCAAGATGGAGGTGCAGAGGCAGAGGAACCTGTGAAGGAACCAGTCCGCGTTGCTGTTTATCTGGGCCAGGGACCGCTTGAGTTCCACAAAGTTGTAACACCTGCTGGTGCCCGTTGGCAGCCAGTGAACGGCTTCCAGTTCCTGCAAGAGCCTAGACAGGAAAGAGGGAAACCTCATGGGCAGAGGAAGAACCCCTGCGGTGGGACCCCCACACCGCCTTCTCAGCACCCCAACCTGGATATGTGAAGAAGCGCTGCTCCAAAATGGGGCACTGCTTGAAGCAACTGGAGGCTCAGCTTCTCCCGGAGCTTCAAGTATTGCAAATGTTTGACGTTAAAGTACCACCTGGGGGTGGGGGGGGGGGGGAGAGAAGTACCAGCTGAGGGAAGGCTGAGCTACATTCCTCCAAGCAACTCCCCACAGGGCAGCACACAGGGCAGGAGGGGCACCTCCTCCTCCACCCCCAGGCCGCCTACCGAGTGAAGGCTTTGCGGACCAAGAAAAGGCGGAAGAAGGGAATGTACTGCATCAGCTGCCACAGCCTGGCCTCCCGATGCCAGGCGCCCAAGGAAAGTGCCTCGGAGCTCTCATCGGGATGCACGCACAGCACCCCGAAGGGTGAGAATACGTAGTGCTGGGGCTTGATCAGGTACCCTGGAACGGTCACTAGGTCGTAAGGCCTGGAGGGAGGAAGAACGCTATAGAAGAAACCGGGGCCCTTCCCGGCCCCGGCAGGAAAAAGGCTGCAGCCCAAGAGGCTCCTGCCCGGCATGAAGGGCTCGCCCAGCCCGCCGCCTACACGACCCCATCACGCCCGTCCCCAGCATCTCAGCCGGGAGCGCAACCGGCGGCTCTATTGCAAGGTGCCCTGCGCCTGGGGAGCTGAGGCAGCCGCGCAAGGAGCAGGAGCCCGGCGAGCGCGGGCTGCCAGAGCTCCTCCCGCCCGCAGGACGCACAAGAGGCGGGGGAGCCTCGGGCGCCACGCGGTACCTGAAATGGCGGTTCGGGGCCGTGTTCAGGTAGAAGAACCGGATCTCCCCCGCGTGGTACCTCCCGGAGAGGGCTTCGGCTACCTGGAGCCCGCTCATCGGGGCCTGCCTGTCCGCCGCGGCTGGTTGGGCGAGGGCCGGTGCGCGGCTGGAGACCGCGGGGGACTCCAGAGAGGGGCTGTGACAGGAGTGGGAGCCGGGTCAGCGGCCCAGGCGGCCCTCCTCCTCTCCCTCCCTCCCTCCCTCCCGCGGGGCTCACCAGGCGGCGCAGGCGAAGTCCACGGGCAGGGCGGCGGCCAGGGCCAGGGGCAGCATGCCCAGCCCTCCCTCCCAGGGGGCTTCCCGGAGGGCCAGCCGGCCGCCCACCGGCCCCACGCAGCGCTGCAGCTCCGGCAGGGAGACGGGGCGCGGGCGCGGCAGACCGGCGGCCCGGCCGCCCCAGTCAGCGCGGAATGGGCAGGGCAGCCCGGCGAAGGCCGGCTCCGGGGCGGCGGCCAGGCGGCGGGCCTCGGCGGCCAGGGCCAGGGCCCAGGGGCCCTCGGGAACGTCCCCCATCGCCGCGCACTCGCGGGGGAAGGCCCTCCGCAGCGCTCCCAACAGGCCCAGGTCGGCCAGCAGCGCGCGGCTCCCGCAGGCCTGGTAGCGCAGGGCGCGCAGGTAGTCGGGTAGCGGGGCGCGCCCGGAGAGAAGCCCGCGGAACGGCGCGCAGAGCTGTAGAGCCTGCAGCAGCCGCCGCCAGGCGCGCCGCCCGCCGCCCCGCAGGACCGCCCGGCACAGGGCCAGCAGCTCGGCCAGCAGCGCCTCCACTTCCCGCGGCTCCGCGTGGCCCGCCTCCCGCAGCTGCGTGGCCAGGCGCCGCCGGAGGGAGCGCGCCCAGGCCGGGTCCGGCTGCCTCGGGAAGGCTCCGCCGGGCTCCGAGGGCCGCGCGTCGGGGAGCCCCGGGACAGGCGGCTGGGCACCGGGCGGCTCCATGGCGGCTGGGTCCGCGTTGCTAGGGGCGCGCGCGGCGTCGCTAGGAGCCCCAACGGCCCGTCCTCCGCTCCCGCGCGCCCCCTGCAGGCAGGACGGGCCTTTTGGGCCTCCAGCCGGGCCCGAGGGGACGGACGTCCCCAGGATGGGGGACTTTTTGAGTTTTCTGGGTTTTTCTTTTTTAATATAGTTGTTTGGCTATTACTTGTATCCTACCCACATGAGATGAGAGCAGTGTATAAATCTGATAAATTCATTCCATTTTCCCTGTCAAACATCCCATCCAGAAAAATACATGTGTATCTCTAACAGGATATCACAAATATGGGGAACAGCCTATTGTTCTTGCAGAATTCTAGGACGACATTGTGTTTCTAATCTCATGAGCAAGGCTGAAGCTTGAGAATTACACGTTACTCCAGAGCAGAGGTGTCAAACTCAAGGCTCGTGGGCCACTTCTGGCCCATGGGGCTGCCCTGGAAACAGTGAAGGACCGCCTGTGGTGCCTCTGCCAGTGAAAATGGAGCTCTGTTTCCACTGGCAGAGAGCTTGGGCCGCCACTGGTCCCCCCCCCACACACACACAAATGACATTGAGTTCCCCATGCCCCTCCTCCCCCGTCAAACACATTGGGACCATAAAAGGAAATTCACAAGTAAGGGCAGGGGGGATTGAATTAGAGTAGTGGGACATGTAATCAGGGCCAGAGATAATGTGTTCATTTTACACATGTTGGATAAGTAGTGATAGGATTACTAAGCCAATAAGGAAAAGATGGGAGGTAAATTTGTAACAGCAATAGACTGAGGCAACGTATTGATTTTTTAGTGTGTCTGCTGTACCTCTGTGTGTGTGTGTGTGTGTGTGTGTGTGTCCACCCTCTTTTGAAAGTGAAGAATAAAATTGCCATTGTTTTCTCTTGGAAGTTTTGGCTGGCGATTATTTCAAAACTAGACAATGGACGCCAGAATTCACATTCCAAGTTTCCGTACATAGATCAAAACACTGAGTGGACCTCACCCCACCTTGCCTCACCTGGGGATTCTTGCTGCATTTAGCAACCCACCTTCAACTCCATATTCATGCAATGTTCCGCAGTAGAAGCATGTTCACATTGTTTTGTCTAAACTGGCAAAAGTACAATAAAGTTTGTCTTGCATGGTTCCCCCATGACCTGTAGAAGAGTAAAACTTTGGAGTGTGCATCCCAGATACCCCACAGGTGGATCCCCCTAGCCATCTATAAAGGTGTAACCAAGACGTGTTGCCGTTCTGTATAAGCCTGGTGCTGATCTCAAGGGATAAATCCCACAACTGGTCAATGTTTATACACAAAGCATGAAGTTCTTGCCAAATCAGATGAATTACTAGGCTCAGAAGCTGTATCGTTTCTCTTTCATTATATAATACAATCCAAAAAACAAGACCATGTAATTGTTGTAGAATTCCAAGTACGATGTATACCCTGAAAACAATGTAATTGTTACTGAATTTAACATGTAATAAAAAATTCCAATCCAACCAATTGTGTCTTATTAACCCAGGCCTTGCCATTAGAACAGACCAGAAAAACGCAATGGCAAGCCACTTTTGCACAGTTGCCCCAGAAATTATATGGTTACTGGAGGCCACGAAGTTACTTTCCTTTGAACAGCTCAACACATAGTCCAAACAGAGAGTTCCCAGAGGTTGAACACAATTACATTAATGGGTCTCCTTCCCTAGATCTTTTCAGGCTACCTGCTACGAAAGCCTCTGCTTTAACAGATCTAAGAGAAGGGAGCCCCTCACCTCTCTGGATCCCCAGGGCCACCGTGGAGCTCTTTGGCCTGGAAGAGGGGGGGGGGGAACCTGATGCTGTGGCTGAAGGCAGGGCAGGCCTGCTTAATGGTCATTTAAGCATAACCAATTAAGCTTAATGCTCAGCTGTGCAATGGAGCAGCAACACAGGCTCAGGTAACAACCACCGGAACTTCCACAGGCCATTTTGAAGAAGCAAGGCCACCCGAGGCACCCTTTAGGACAACCGGCACCAATTCTAGATTGTCGGAGTCCTCCTTCAAGCATCCTGTGCATGGCCAGGCATGGTCCTTGACCAGGATCCTTCAGGTAGGAGCGTTTTAGGCTCTTCGCTCCACCTCGGCTTGGGAAAGTGAGAAGCCGCCTCTGGTAAACAGCGGTGGGGGCTAGCAGAGAGCTTCGAAGGCTGGGTCTCAAGGGCATCGGCCCCGGGGGCCAGGATGTTTCTCGGCCGTGGAAAGCTCCTCCTGACCCCGCCTCGGGAAACGCACATTCTTCCGAAGGGAAGGAGCCCGTCTCAGCCCCCAAGTGTCCCCCCGCAGCCGCTACCGCTTCTCCTCCGCAGGCGAGGCCGTCGCTCGAAGGAGACCTGCGCCCGCGGGGCTCCCCAGCGCTCCTCCCAGAGCAGGCATCGCGGAGGCGGCGCAGGCGGGTCAAGAGGAGGCGGGCGGCGGGAGAGCGGCGGGAGGCGCGGGAGAGCTCCCGGCGGCCTCGTAGTCGGCGATCCGGCGCTGGACCAGGGAAGGCATCAGCTGCACGTAGGCGGCCATCAGGCGGTGGTTGGAGCGCACCAGCTTCCCGGCGCAGCCGTCCAGGCAGGCCTCCTGCGGGCAGAAGAGAGAGGGAGAGACGGGCGGGAGGGGCTCGCTCTCTCTCGCCCCACCCCCGAACCGGACCCCTCCCGCCCCCAGCCCCACCCCGGCCTCACCTCCTGGCGGGTCAGGGCGCGGTAGTTGAGGTCGGCCACGCACCGCTGGAAGCAGAGCTCCGTCATCCGGTTGTAGACCAGCAGGAAGTCCCGCAGCTGCAAAGAGAGCGAGGCCTCAGCCGCCCGCCCGCAGGGGGGGGGGGGGCAGGGGGCGGGGGGCGGGCAGGGGGCGGGCAGGGGGGGAATCGCTCACACTGCGTAGCTGCTGCGTCTCCGGCGTGGGGTCCTCCATGCGGGCTGGGTGCGCTCACCTGTGCTCCCCGTGACGCCACTTCCGCCGCGCCGACGTCGCTTCCGGTGTGCCTGCGCTGGGGCCGACGCGCGCCCGACCGACGCCGGAGCCTCCGGGGCCGGCCCGCAACGGGTGAGCGGCTCCCTCGGCTCCTCCCTGGCCCGGCCCCGGGTGGCGGGCGGGGGCGGTGCCCGCGGCGCGGCCTCCTGGGGCGGAAGGGACGGCGGTCGTGGCTCCGGGCGGCCCGGATCCTGGCCCCAAAGGCGGCCTTTTCCGGCGCCGCTCTTCCCCGGCCGGCCGGTGCTGCGGGCGCCCGGCGGGGCCGCTCCTTGCCGGGGACCGAGGTCCTCTCGCGGGGCGCCCACGGGTGTCGTGGGGGGGAGGGCGGCGAGAGACCCCTCCGTCGCCAGCCTTACCCCGGCCGGCGTGCCGGTGCGTGCGGTATGGAGGCGCCCTGGGCCGCCGGTCCCTCCCCCCGGGGCTCCCCAGGAGGCCGCAGCACCGCCCCTGCCCCGGGCTGAGCCCCCCTGGAGCCGTCGCGGTGTTGTCCGCGGGAGGGGGGGCGGGCGAGCAGCTGAGACACCCCCCTTCCCCCCCCCCAGGCACCAAGCATGAGCGAAGGGTCCATGAGCAAGGCAGCCACCATGGAGATCCCCATCCACGGCAACGGAGACTCCAGGCGCATGGCCGATGACGACGGCTTGGAGCAGGTGAGGAGGGAGGGGAGGGGAGGAGGATGGTTGGCAGAGCAGATCCGGGATCCTTTTCCCTCTGGCCGAGACTCCGAGAAAAAGCGGCCTTGGTGGAAGGGAGGCAGGCAAAAAGCAGGGAACCCACCTGGCAGAGGTCCCTGCCCGGCAGGCGTTTGGAGCCCTGGGCAGTCCAAAAAGGTGGGTGCAAGTGGGCGGAAGTTTGGGAAGGCCCCTGAGAGGGCAAAGGGTTCCAGGCCCAGCCCTCCAGTTTGCTCATGTTTAGCCCCCTCTGATGGAAGCAGCCTTCCACTGCCTGAAGGCCTGCCAAGCAGAAGAGGGTTGGGGGGGGAGGGGGGACCGGAGGGGCCCCGGAGGGGCTGGCCAGGAGCAATTCAAGGAAGGTGCCCAGGCTGTGGGCCTCTCGCCTTTCCTGGAGGCTCCCAAACAATGTAGAGCACACAGAGTAGCAGAATTGGAAGGGACCTTGGAGGTCTAGCCCCCTGCTCGATGCCCTCTCAGCTCCGTTCCAGCTCTGACTGCATGAAAACTCTAGGTGGGTCAGCCTCCTCTGCCGGGCGCCCTCCCACCCTATAGCTTTGGCCCCTGAGAATCCTTGCTGGCTGTCCGGGGGCAGAGTCCAAGGCCTGGGAAAAGGCCAGCTGGGCTGCACTCTGGAGCCGAGAGGCCTGAGGGCAAGCGGCTGAAGGAAGGGGGCCCTTCCTAAAGCTTGGCAGTTGTGCAGCGAGGGGCGAGATTTCAGCAGCCACAAAGATGCCACTTTGTGTCACCTGGGGTCCTTTACAGCTGGCAGCTTGATTCTTCCTCCCCCTCCTTAGGACTTGCAGCAAGTGATGGTGTCGGGGCCCAACTTGAACGAGACCAGCATTGTCTCTGGAGGTTATGGGGGATCGGCCGAGGGCATTGTCCCCACCGGTATCATCAAAGGTCAGCATTTGCAGGGAGTGATGAGGCTGCCCGGGGGAGGGGGGAGGGGGGTGGGGGGGACCCTGCCTGGCCATTGCCTAGCTTTCTCAGCCTGGGAAGCGCTTGGAAGCCCTCACCCCTGTGTAGGCAGCCGTGTCCATCCCCCCCAGAGCTCCACTTGAGGCAAGAGGGAGGCGGGCGGCTTGGGGGTCTCATTGCTCTTTCAGAATGCCACCTGCCATCTCGCCGCCGCCTCTCCTCGCCCCCGTGTCACGCTCATCACTTCCCCCCCTTGTGTTCTCTCGCCCCCTCTGGTGCGGCTCCCCTCCCCTCCCCTCCATTTCAGGCTCCCTTGTTCCATCTCATCCTCCCCGAGGGCCACTCATCTCCCCCAGCCCTTCAGCTGCCAGCCGCATAGCCAGCCCGGCTCCCATGGCCACAGGTATTGTCCTGCATGGGGCCGGCAGGGGGAATGGGGGCTTTGTGGCCCTTTCAGTGGGGAACGTGCGGGGTGGGGGTGAAGGGGGCCGCTGTCTTTCTGGTGTGCATCTCTCCTTGCCAACTGCAGGCTCCAACTTGCACCAGCCCCACCCCAACCCAGCCATGACGGGGGAGGAGGCGGCAGCGGCAGCTGCTGCCACGCGGGGAGTGGCCGTGGAGAAGTTTGACATTGTCAGGAAATGGGGCATCAACACCTACAAAGTAAGTCTCCTTTGGGGCAGGGGGGGCGTCCCAGATCAGAGTCCCGGGCATTGCTGGGCTCCCACTGGCTCTTGTAGCCCCCCCTCCCCCCCGGGTCCCTTCGAGGGCCCTGGGGATGATCACCCGGGTGAGGCTGATGAGGCGGCCTGTGTCAGCTGGTGGGGAGGGGGGCTTCCCTGGCTGCTTGTGGGGACTTTGGGTGGAGGGCTTCTCCCAGGCAGCTGCCCTGCGTTAGCACAGGGCCGTTGGGTCGCTCTCCTGGCCAGTGTGTGTCAGCTTGGCTGCACCCACCAAGCCCCTTCAGGGCCAGGTCATGGCCACCTTTACTCCTGCTGGGTGTGGATTTCGGCGGATTCAGGGCAGGCTCTCCTCGGAGGCCCCAGGCAGACGAGGGCAAGAGGCCCAAAAGCCAACCTCTCTTCTCTGCTCAGTGTACCAAGCAGCTGCTGTCGGAGCGCTTCGGACGCGGCTCACGGACTGTCGACCTGGAGCTGGAGACCCAAATCGAGCTGCTGCGCGACACCAAACGCAAGTACGAGTCCCTACTGGGCCTGGCACGGGCCCTCACCAGCCACTTCTACAGCCTCGTCCAGACGCAGCACGCCCTGGCGGACGCCTTCTCGGACCTCAGCCAGAAGTCCCCCGAGCTCCAGGTGAGCGCCCCTCTCCCTCCCTCCCTCTCCCCCGGGCAGGCTTCCTTGACCTCGACCTGGGGCCTTTGAGAAGGCTGGCTCGCCCCGTTGGGATGGGCAGGGGGCAATGGAGGGAGGGGGGGCTCTGGGCCATCACTCGGGTGGGGACGGCTGCAGGGAGGAGAGGGGGGGAGGCAGCCAGAGGGCTCTTCCGCCCCCCCCC